ACTAAGGTGCATCTGATTCAATTCCTTGTCTTTGCAATTACTTACTATGCATCAGAGAGCTGGACAATGACAAAGGATGACATAATTGATTCCTTTGAGTTGTGGTGCTAGAGAAGAGTATTGAACATAACATGGACTGTCAGAACTATTAAATCTGTCTTGGAAAGAGTGAAACCAAGTATCTTTTTGGAGGCAAGAATTTTGAAGCTCTGTATCACATAATTTGAGCACGTTGTCAGGACATCATGCTCGTGAGGGTGGAAGGAAAACACAGGAAAGGAAGACCTCAGATGAGATGGATTGACAAGGTAACTAGGGCAGTGGGACTAGGTGTGTCAGAGTCAGTGAATATGGCTCAGGAAAATGGCTCAGAGCAGGGTTCAGAGCTATTGTACATAGAGTCGCTCTAAATCAAAGGTGACTTGATGGCACATAACAATAGCAACAACAACCATATGAACAAGAGCCAATGGTAATAAAGGAAGTTTAAATGGGATTTAGAAGAGGTAAAGTCATCAGGGATGTCAGTGCTGATGTCAGATAAATCCTGGTTAAAAGCAGTGAATAGCAAAATGTCTATTTGTGTTTTATTGACTATGCAAAAGGCATTTAACTGTGTGGATCATAACGGACTATAGCTAATTGTGAGAAGAATGGGAATCCTAGAACACTAAATTGTGCTCATGTGAAACCTATACTTAGATCAAGAAACTACTGTCTGAATGGAGCAAAAGAACACTGCATGGTTTAAAATCAGGAAAAGTATACATCTCCATACCTATTCAATCTGTATTCAGAGTAAATACTTCATGAAGCTTAGACATTATGAAGAAGAATGTGGTATCAGGATTGGAGGAAGACTCGTCAACAGCTGCTGCTGCTGATGCCCACTTGCTTGCTGAAAGAAAGGAGGACCTGAAGCACTTGTTGCAAAAGATCAAAGATTATAGCCTGTGGTGTGAATTACATCTCAACCTCAAGAAAACAAAGGCTCTTCTAGGTAGCGCCTGGTTGCACTACTTCCAGGACAGATTTGCTTGCTTTTTTCGCAGACTATTGCAATAATACCACTGAGTATTATTTGCAAATATTGCAGTTGGGGGAGGGCACCCATTCTTTCATCTTCGATGTTTATTGTCCAACTTTCATATGGCAATGAAATTATTGAAATTGTGTCAGGCACAATATAGTATCTAAGGTAAAATCTTTGCTTTCTATAATTTTACATAGATATTTGGAAGCTGATTTAATCATTGCTATATGAGGATAAGTGTGGCATTAGATTGGTGAACGATCTATCAACAATCTGCGTTATGCAGATGACACAACCCTGCTCACTGAAACTGAGGAGGACCTCATGCACTTACTGCAGAGGGTCAAGGACTGCACCCTTCAGTATGGACTGAGGCTCAATGTCAAGAAGACAAACATTCTCCCCACTGGACCAATCGGTAGCATCAGAATGGATGGCGAAGTGATTGAGATTGTTCACAGCTTCAGTTTGCTTGGCTCCATGGTCAACACTCTTGGTACCAGCAGCCAGGAAATAAAAAAACGTATTGTGATGGGAAAGTCTGCTGTTACGGACCTCTCTAAAGTACTCAAAAGCAACAGTGTCTCTCTGGAGACTAAGGTCCACCTGATACAGGCCATGGTTTTTGCAATCACTTGTTATGCATCAGAGAGTTCAACAATGACTAGGGAGGATAGAAGGAGAATTGACGCCTTTGAGCTGTGGTGCTGGAGAAGAGTATTGAATGTACCATGGACTGTCAAGAAAACAAACAGATTCATCTTGGAGAGGGTCAAACCAGGCTGCTCCTTGAAGGTAAGGATTCTGGGGCTTCGTCTGACATACTTTGGACATGTTGTAAGGAGAGACAGGTCTTTAGAGAGGGACATCATGCTGGGTAGAGTGCAGGGACAGCGCAGGAGGGGAAGACCCTCTATGAGGTGGATTGATTCAGTGACTGGGGTAATCGGGACGGGTATGTCAGAGGCAATGAGACTGGCACAGGATAGAGCACGGTTTAGGGCTGTTGTACATAGGGTCACTATGAGTCGCAAATGACTCGACAGCACATAACAACAACAACAACAGCAGCATATGTAATTTAATTCCCCCCCCTCTATTCTGTGTCAATTGTGATCCAAGTGAAAAAAAATGAAGAAAGAAAACAACGGTCCTCATCACTGGGCAAATAGGCAACATCTTAATAAAAGAAGAAAAGATTGACGTTATTAAGATTTTCTCTTGCTTGGACCAACTGACAACTGTTTTAACCAGCGGTCAGGAGATCAGGAGACATTATAGTGGGCTGTCAGGGACCTCTTCAAAATATAGAAGAGCAATGATGTTAGTTCAAAGAGTAAGGTGTACTAGATTCAGATTCAGACCATTTTTTTTACCATCACTTGTTATGCATCTGAGGGCTGTACAATAACAAGGATAAGGATGATAGAAGAAGTGATGCCTTTGAGTTCTATGTAGTGTTGGAGAAGAGCACTGAATATCCCTTGGACTGCCAAAAGAGCAAACAGATATATCTTGGAAAAGTGCAGCTATAGTGCTCCTTGGAAGCAAGAATGATGATGCTTCATCTCTCATGCTTTGGGCATGTTTTTAGGAGAGGGTTCCTTGGAAAGAGACTTCATGCTTGGAAAGGGTTAGGTCAGTGAAGGAGAGGAAGACTTACAGCAAGGGAGACTGATACAAAGACAGCAGCAATATGCTAAAGTATGTTGGGGATGGTGAAAATGGCACAAGATAGGCATGTTGTTCATGAGGTGGCTAAGAGTTGTACTCAACTCAACAGCATGTAATAACAATGAGGTTGTAAGATTCAAAACACATAGTGGCTCCTACTTTGTGGCAATGGGGCAGGACTGGGCACCATTTTGTTCTATTATACATAAGGTTACCATGAGTTGGCGCTGACTCACTGTAATCAGTAACATAACCCTAGACCATATATTCCAGGCTCTGACTTATCTGTGCTCAAGGCCATTATCACTCATTGCTCCAATCAGGGTGACTGAGCCTTTGCTTTTGGAGGTTTCATGTAGAGGGAGGCCAAGGACACATGAAACTTTAAACTGCTATTGGTCAGCTTCTTCCAGAAATCTCCTGACCATTTTCGCTCTGCCCCATTTTACCAAAAGAGCCCCCACAAGCCATCCTGGTCTCTATGTTTATTTTGTTCTGTGCTACCTACACTGGAGATAAAAAGGATATTATATTGTTTTTCTAGGGCTGCAATAACAAAATAGCACAAACTAGGTCACTTAAAAACCAAAAGCTATTGTCTCACAGTTCTAGAGGCCAAAAATCCAAATACAAACATGTCAACATGGCCGGACTCCTTTTGGAGTGCTTAGAGGATGATTTCCTGTCTCTTCCATCTCTGATTGTCCCAAGTAGTCCTTCACTTACAGATGCATCTTTATATGGCTATCTTTCGCTCTGCATTTCTCTTCATTCATAAGGACCCTACTCAGGTTGAACTAGGACCCATTTTACTTCAATATGACCTTATGCTAACTGATAACTTTATCAAAGACTCGACTTCCAAAGAACGTTGACAGATGTAAGCAAAGGACTTTCCTAGTTATCAAGTGCTACTATAACAGAAATGCCACAGTGAATAACATTAACCAACAAGAATTTGTTAACTCAATTTTGGAAACTGTAAGTGTGAATTCAGAGTGCTGACACTAATGGAAGGTTTTCTCTCTTGGTTGGTTCTGGAGGAAGAGCCTTGTCTCCTATGATCTGCAAGCCTGCCATTCCTTGGAGGTCTCCATGTGTCTTGGTGTGTGAATCTCTTCCAGTATCTGGAAGGTTCACTCTGCAAGGAAACTGGGTGCAAAGCATGTGCTCCTCTCTTCTTCTTTTTTGGTGATTCTGAGCCCCATCCCTCATCCTCACTCACATCTTTCTCCTTTTTAAAAAAAAATCGCTAAGGAATTTTAATGAAAGTTTACAGAGACTTTGTATTTCCATTTATTCATTGTTGCACTCTTCTCCTTGCCCAACCTCCCTCATACTGCCCCAGTTCGCTCTTCTCTTTGAAAAGTAGAAGAAAAATGATTTCATTTTCATACAGTTACTCTCCTCAAGTGCACTCCACTATGCAGCCTTTGTTCTGGACTCCTGTCATGACAAAACTTTCTCCTTTTATCTCTCATAAAATAAAAGGTGGTGTGGTCATGCCCCGTGGAAACTCCTACTCTATTAGATCAAGGTTGTGACTGGAGTAAGGGAATTAAATTCCACAATGATCTCCTTATCTTGTACTATAGATTCAATCATTGAATAACTATGACATTATATAATTATATCTAAAATGCTGAGAATCAAATCCCAGTTAATTTGATACTTTTCTTGGGGTATGATACAATTCATTATGGACTTCAACATATACTTTTGAGGGACACAATTTAAATAATAAAATATATCAATCTTAGAGAGTAGTTGAGAATGGAGAACGAGCTACTACACATAATTGGAACTCAATAGTCTAAGTTACTATTATTGGTCAAGGAGTATGGGTTATTTATTATTGGCATGTGGCTGCTCACCAGAACATTGGTGATCAGAACGCACCAGCTGCTCTGCATGAGTAAGATATGACAATCCGCTTTTGGAGAGATATATAGTCTTGGAAAGCTCAGGGGACAGCTCTACTGTGCACTATAGGGTCTCTTTGAGATGAAATTGAACTCAGTGACAAGATAGTTTTGATGGTTTTAGCACTTTGGAGTACTCACCTTGGTAGAATGCGGATAGTTGTGCTCAGAAAATAAGATGTCCAAGAGGGGCTTTGCTGTGTAGCTCAGGTAAAACTATCCATTAACAAAGAAGCTTGATTTCTTCAGAAGCATTTACTGCAGCTTAACATTCTGGAGCTGTACTTCTCGAGTGACTCAAGGTGATCTGAAGGCCAAGCCCCTTGCAAAGATAATAATCACACACATATTTTCTCTGTTCTTTTCCACAGACCACTGAGGATGAGCCTTCTGAAAAAGATGCCCTGCAGCCTGGTCATAACATTGTGGCTGCTGGCTATGCACTCTATGGGAGTGCAACTCTGGTGGCCCTTTCCACTGGACAAGGAGTGGATCTCTTCATGCTAGATCCAGTACGTACTGAATATGGTGACATAAGCACTTGAATCTTCTTGGGATCTCTGAGTTGTAATTGCCTTGCTTTTGGGCCAGAGATGCAGGAAGACTTGTTTAGGGAATTGAGAGTATAATTAAATAAGGCAGAGCAGAGTGGCTCAGCGGAAGCGTGCTGGGCCCATAACCCAGAGGTCGATGGATCAAAACCATCCTCTGCTAACAGAGTATAATTAAATAACATTAAGGACCTCTATCTAACTGTGTATATATTCTACAAAGTCACTGTTATAAAGCCAGACCTTACCTCTAGAGTATTTATAATCCACACATACATTCTATAATTTTGGTTTATAGAGATGCCATGATTTAAGAATCTCAGTGAAAATTACCTACTTTCAGACAGAAAGAAAAAAGGATTGTTTAAAGCAGATTCTTCTGGTAGACTTCTCTGTGATAATGACTGCTTTAGGTTTCTCTAGATAAACAGAACCACTGATGCATAAATACATACATAAATATATTTCAAGGACTTGACTCGTGCAATTGTGGAGCACTGGCAGGTCCAAAATTTGTAGAATAGGTGACAAGCTAGAGACTCCAGCAGCTTTGCATCCCAAGATCCATAAGTCAGATGCAGGAAGAATGCAGAGTAAATTTTTGCCAAAATATTTACCTACAATGGGAAGGAAGAACACACCCTGGGTAAATTCCTTTTTTAACTGATTACATGACATTGTTATATTATTGGAATAGGAGAAATTACATTATAATATACATTAGATTTGTTCCTGGGGAATAAGACATTTCAAATTTGAGCATAATAATAACAATATACTGGCCTAGGGGCCATTTATTTCAAACTATACTTTCCCTAAGGACAAAGTAGAGACTATATATTTTATTATATTAACAAGATGAAGACAAACAAATGATTCCAAAATGAAAGAAACTTATCAACAGTGACATAGATAGTATTCTACTGATTAATGGCTGCTGCTTTCACTTATAAGGTTCTGAGCACCATTACAGGCAAGGCTACTATAACAGGTGAAATACCATGATTTGGATATGTACACAACTTCAAATTAAAAGCTTAGAAGATTAATTTTATGAGGTCACCTGACTATGTATTAGTCAGAGCTTTGGTTTATTGAAATCACAAAGAATAAACACAGATAACTAATTGTCCCTAACTAGTAAAATGTGTGTGAGGGTACAAGGAGGAAAGGGATGAGGATGAGTAGGAGGGAATCACAGGGTCACACAATTTGGTGGGTGGAAGGAGAGGATAAAGAAATGGGAAATGTCCAGCAGGGACCTGAAAAGACAGACTAGTAGTGGGCATAGTTTAATGGTAATTAATTTTATAAGCCACTATATATGAGAGAGAATATATGAAAAATAATGTCAATGAAGGAAAGTGTGAAACACAATGCATATAAATTTAAAAAACAAAAGGAAAAATAAGAAAAATGGATGCCATTGGATTGTATTGTTGGAAAAGAATATTGAATGTGCCATGGAATGTCAAAAGAAAAAACCAAATCTGTCTTGAAAGAAAGTCAGCCGCTTGGAAGAGTGTTCCTTAGACACAAGGATTGTGAGACTTTATCTCACTCATTTTGATCATGGTGTCACAATGAACCATCCTCTAGATGGACATCATATTTAGAAAAACAGAGGGCTAACAAAAGACAGGAAAATCCTCAGCAGGAGAAATTGACATAGTGACTACAGCAATGTACTTAACACAGCAGAAATTGTGAGGGTGGCACAGTATCAGGCAGTGTTTCCTTCTGCTGAACATTGGGTAGCTATAAGTCAGATCTGACTTATTCTGAGCTGGAGCTGATTCTATGTCACATAGCAATAACAATATGTTGGTCTAGGAACTAGGTTCTGATTTCTAGCTATAACTTTCCCTAATGGTGTAATGTAGTGGGTTTGTGTTTCAAAATTACTTTCCTGGGCCATTGCCTGAGACTTTGCCATATGAATGGGTAGGAAGATGCAAATAAGTTTTCTAGACTTATGATGGGATCAGCGAGTTTTAACATTCTTCCAGGTTTAAATTGAGTAGATTTAGTAGCAGAAAATGGGAATCTCACTACTATTAAGAACGAAGAAGCAGAAGATAAAGTGCATATCCTTTGGGTTCACAGAGATTCCTGGGTCAGTCATACCAGGTTCTAGATAAAAGCAGCAGCAGCAGCAGCAGCAGCAGAGAACCAGAGACTGATGTGAGACTGAACTGGCCTGATATTGCTGCTTCACTGAGCCAGAGTCAGGGACCTATGGCCAAGCTTGCTGAAGTCCTGGAGGTGGGGGTATGGGGCAGACACTAATTGGTAGGATTAAGAAAGCTTTGTAACAGTAGCCTAAAGCCATAAAGCTTGAAGTTAAAGGGTTTGCAAGCATTCCTGAGAAGCTGGCCTAATTGAAAAATTCATCTTGTTTCCAAGGTGAATTACAATTTACTAATCTCTCTAATAAACTCAATAAGCATGAACCCCCCACAGTTTGCACATGGCAGGAATCTGAGACCACCTTCTTCCCTCCTTCATCAGCCATGTACTACAAAAGGAAGAGCAGAGACACTAAGACACAAGACAACAGTTTTGGCGCAGAAGTTCAGGGACAAGAACTTTTCCCTAGTACTGCCTCAGACAGAAATCCTTCCCTGAAGCTGGTACATGGGATTTGGACTTAAATCCTCCTAAATGTGAGACAGAAATCAGTGTGAGAAACAAGTAGCAAACTGAGGAGTAAGACGTCACAGAAATGACTTCTGGCCTAACTTCAATGAGTGGTTGGAAGGAGGGAGGTGCTGGACAGGGTAGGTGGTAGTGCAAGGAATGTTGATGTAGCACAGAAAGGGAAGGGACAGGCATACAGTGGTGGAGTTGGGGAACTACAGGTATTGATTATTTCTGTAAGGGGAAGTGTCTTTCTTACACCCCTTTCACTAAAATGTTTGTCTGTCAGATATTGTTCTAAAGCTAAGTATCCAAATTAAGAAAGACTAGGAAGAAGAATTGACCCTCCATTTCTGAAATATAGCAGGCCTTCAAAAACCCTATTATGATAGAGCACACTTAGAGCAGAATAACAAACATGGTAACTGAGGCTGGGCCCTCAAATATGGAAAAAGGAGGAGGAACAGGCGGGAACAATGGAATATGAGAAGTATGAATGTAAGAAAACTGGACATCATTAAGAAAGAAATGGAACACATAAATTTTGACATATTAGGTATTGGCAAAATGAGATGAATAGGCATGGGACATTTTTAATCAGAAGATCATATGCTCTACTATGCCTGAGATAAAAAAAAATACATAAAATCAATTACATCTGTGGGAGGAACTGCTGGAGTAGTTCAATGTCAGCAATGAAAACTAGGCCAGGTGCTGATTGTGGAATAGGCTATTAACTACGCATATGCAAATTCAAATTACACAGGAAACAAAATTTGATCTTGAGTCTATCCCACCTGAATATAAAAAAAAAACAATCTCAGGGACAGGTTTGAGGCCTTGAACACTAATGAACAAAGACCAGATGAGCTATGGGAGCATATACAAAATATCATCCATGGTGGGGTGTGTGTGAGTGTGAAGGAAATTGGAAAGATCTGGTATGAAAAACATTGTATTAGAACATTGTAAATAAGCAGTATTAAAAAATCACTCATGAAGAACACCAGAGGTCATTACAAAGACAGAGAGGGAAGAAAAGACCAAGACGGATGTCAGAAGAGACTCTGAATATTACATTAAAACACTGAGAAGTGAAAGGAAAGATAAAAAGAATCAAGAATTTAAGGGGCTGAATAGATTTCAAAGGGCAGCATGGGAAGACAAAGTACTGTATTGAAACTGGAGTGGGAAAATCAAAAGGGCCAAACTTGCTCAGCATTTCTTAAGCTGAAGGAAAAACAAATTCAAGCCTCAAATTGCCATTCTTAAGGATGCTATGGGCATAATAGTGAGTAATCAAGGAAGCATTAAAAGAAGATGGAAGGAGTAAACAGAGTCACTGTACCAAAAAGAATTGGTTAACACAGAAGTATTTCAAGAAATAACATAAGCTCAAGAGGCAATGGTGATGAAGGAGGAAGTGCAAGGTGCTCTGAAGGACTTAGCAAAGAAAAAAGAGAAAGAAAAAAAAGGGGCCCCAGGAATTAATGGAATATCAATTGACATATTTCAACAAATTGATGCTGGCCTGGATGTGCTCACTAGGTTGTGCTAAGAAATCTGGAGGATGACTACCTGGCTAACTGACTGGAAGAGAGCCATATTTATTCCCATTCCAAAAAATGGTGACCCGACAGTGTAAAAATTATCAAACAATGTCACTAATATCACATACAAGCAAAATCCTGCTGAAGATTATCCAGAAATGACTGGAACAGTATATTGACAGAGAACTACCAGAAATACAAGCTGGATTTAGAAGAGATCATGCACTAGAGACATTATCACCAATGTCAGATGGATCTTGCTAGAAAGCGAATACCAGAGGAATGTCTGTTTATGTTTCATTGACTATGCAAAGGCATTTGACTGTGTATATCATAGCAAATTGTGGCTAAACTGAGAATGAGAAACCTAAAACACTTGATTGTGCTCATGTGAAACCTATACTCAGACCAAGAAGCAGTCCTCAGAACAGAGCAAGCAAACACAGCATGATTCAAAATCAGAAATGGAGTGTTTTAAGGATGTGTCCTGTCTCCATACCTTTTCAATCTATTTGCAGAACATACAATTCAGGAGCCTGGGCTTTATGAGAAGAATGCGACATCTGGATTGGAGGAAGACTCATCAACAACCTGGATTATGCAGATAACACAACCTCGGTGGCTGAAACTGAGGAGAACATGAAGTACTTGCTGCAGAAGATCAAAGACTGTAGTCTTCAAAATGGATTGAAGCTCAACATCAAGAAGACAAAGATTCTTACCAATGGATCAAATGGCAGCACCATGATAGATGAAGAAGAGATTGAAGTT